CATCAAACAGGCAGCACCTCCAGCAGATGTCACAGGGTCGTGACGTGGACGAAGGCAGCAGACACTATCTTGAGATGAAACTGTTTATTTGGCCCAACTTGGGGCCAGATATCTGAAGGTCAGATTACAGCAACAAATGGGCACTGATAGAGGCGGGCAGAGCGTTGCCTGTAGATCAACTGATACAGATACCGTCGAATCACTGGGCGTTGCTCAAGCTCTCTAATAATATCCAGTATTCGCTTCTTGCGCAATCTTAACAGAACGATCAACAATGATTGCGAACCTTCTGGAACAGTTAGGCGCAGTTTGTGCTGAGCATTCCCGACGGGCTTTGTGGGCCAAAACCGAATGAAACAAAATGAAGGTAACAAATGACCGTGGCAATATATTTTACGTCGTATCCATGTCGGATAAACACAGTGAAGCCTTGGTGAACACTGGCATAAAACACTCTCGTGTTAAATTAAAAAAAGTGGCTCTATATAATTAAAAAAGTCTCAGCTGCACTCCCAGAGTGAAGCGATGGATGCGGTGAGAGCAAATTGTTATGTTATACTAAGTGGGGCTGGCAGCTAACTCTTTTTTGGATCTGATCTCTCGAAACTGTACGAAGCGCTGGTGTACAAGGATACAGCCACTTCAAGAATAGCAACACTTTTCACACAGTCTACTTGCGATCAGAGTGCAGCATGTAGAAGTGTACGCATGCCTCCCGCTAATGGCTGTTGAGCTAGCATACGTGATTGCAACCACGCCCTTAGTTCATAGTTATTGCTCGAGCGACACCAAAGGCGGGTGGATTGCTTCCCCTCTGTTTCGACTGCAAGGCTCCTCAGCATGGGTACTGGATGTTATCGCAGCTGCGGCCGAATTGTTTTATCTCTGCTTCAACCGCTTTCGTCGCCCTTGCTGCCGTGCTTTCACTTGCGGATAGAACATACAATGCACAGGGATATGTTATCAATATTTATTTATACGAGACATGACAGCAGCGGCAACAAAAAAATTGGCAGATCCCACATACAGTGGGAATCCATGATACGCGAAGCATAAATAAGAAATGTTGGTATGTCACTTTAAAGTAAGCACAACGTTATGATGCAGAGGTAACTTATGCCGTACATGACTTCTATGTCATGATTATCATGTTTGGATGTGCCATTTACCTTCGTCGTCTGTTCACGTCACGTAATACCAAATGTTGTATATGTTGAGCTACCGAAACGCCCACGAGCACGCTATCAGCGTAGCTTATAGTCATGTTTTACATGCCACGCATATCATGATTGTCATGTTTTGACTTGTCATTTACCTTCGTCGTCTATTCACATCCCGTAGTATTAACTTTGGTACATGCGAAGCTAGCAAAACAGGTGAACGCATCATGAAAGGCCCAATATACTCCATGTCACGTTGATGCGCGCGCACCCTGGGTTCAGCGATGCTACGCTAGGAAAAACGGGAGCACTCTATTTTCTGACGCCAGGCGCGACTAGCATTTGTCAGTGAGGCCCGGTGGCAACCGTAACGAATTCCGACATGTAGCATTTCTCACCATGACGTTACCTAGACAGCACTGCGTCTGTCTCTCTTCGTGACGGCGAGACGTCGGGTGCGCTCAAATGCCTATGCGTCAAAGCGACGCAGCGCGGCGCACGCCTCTGCACCTGGCGTGACGCGACAAAACAAACGCTGGCGTGCACACGTGCCAGGTCACGTCGAAGTTGATTGGCACCTTGAGTGTGGCACGTAGTCATGTTCTTAAAGGACAGGCATCTCATGATTATATCATGTTCACACCAGTCACATATCTTCGTCATCCATTCGCATCACGTAACACCAAATTTGGCGTATGTGAAGCTAACAAAACGACTGCGAGCACATCGTGAGTGTGGCATGTACTCATGTTGTTACATGATATGGATGTCATGATTATCATGTTTGACATGTCATTTACCTATCTCGTCTGTTTGGGACCCGTATTACTGAATTTAGTACATGTTAAACTAGCGAACTGGCCGCAGAGCACATCATGAGCTTAGCATGTAGTTATGTTGTTACATGACACGCATCCTATAATTAACATGTTTGCACCAGTCACACACCTTCGTAATCCATTCATGCCCCGTAATACCAAACCTGGTATATGTGAAGCTAGTGAAGCGAGCGCAAGCGCATCATGAGCCTGGCATGTAGTCATGTTGTTACATGACATGCATCTCATAATTTTCATGTTTGCACCAGTCTCGTATCTTTATCATCCATTCACGTCCCATAATACCAAATATGGTATAAGCGAAGCTAGAGAAACTGCCGTGAGCGTAGCATGTAGTCATGTTGCGTAATCACGAGCGTAGCATGTAGTCGTGTTGTTAAATGACCCGCATCTCATGTTTATCATGTTCGCACCAGTATCGTCATCCGTTCACGTCCCGCAATACCAAATTTTGTGTAAGTGAAGCTAGTGAAACGGCTGGTAGTGCATCATGAGCGTGGCATGTAATCATGTTGTTACATGACACGGTTGTCACGATTTTCATGTTGGGGTTCGTCGCTTGTGTTCACCAAGCAGTCAAGTCATATCATACCAGTTTTATAACATGTCCTGTGAACGAAACCACTGCAAGAGCAGAAAGACCATGAAATGTAAATTATGACATTCATGACATACACGTCATGATTTCCATGTTATGCCATACCAATTTTGGTGTCCATACCATTAATGGAATGGCCAGGAGAGCTAAAAGTCGTAGTTGATGGACAGATATATGTATCGATAGATGGATGGATGGATGGATGGACGGACGGACGGACGGACGGACGGACGGACGGACGGACGGACGGACGGAGGGAGGGAGGGACGGAGGGAGGGACGGAGGGGCGGATGGATGCACGCACGCACACTCAGTTGCCGAAGTTCGCTATGAAATGCTTCGCATTTAAAACTTGCCGAGAGTGTCCATATAGTTTCTATCGCAATATTGAGGTCATTGCATAATTTAGCTAAGTGTTTGAAAAAGTATAGCATTGAACAAATGTTGCTTCACAAGTGCTTTGAAGAGGGCTAAATCTGCTCTGAATGTTCTTACTGCTCTAAACTTGCTCCAAAAGGCCCTTCTGGCTGCTTGTAGCCTGCTCCAAAAAGTCTTTCTAGCGGCTCCAAGCCTGCTACAAAAAGCACTTTAACTTCCTCGCAGGACTGCTTCCAAACCCATTTACTCTATTCCACCCCTGCAAAAGTATTATGGCTTGGATGAGCTGGTGATTCATGAACTTAGATTGTATTACCACGGTACATATAAGAAGGAAAAGACGACATAGACCTAAGGAAAGGGAGGTTCTAAACTTCCAACTGTTTATTTTTCACCCTTCACATCCAGTTTATACATGCACTAAAAACAGAACTCATCTTGCACGTGGTCTCATTCGAAGATGCGTAATTTCTCTTACCATCAGTGCAATCAATGGTGACCTGCACGCAAGTTTCTCCTATCTGCTATAGCTTCGGCTTCTTTAATTTCGCGTGTCAGCTGATTCCGAGACAAGCCAATAACAATGCAGATGTACAGATTAGGGGAGCACTGACAACCTTTGCAGTGCGCTGCTAGGAACCATCCCGCTAAAAGTCTATTTCTTGCACTGTAGCTGTGTTCCAGTAGTCTACGATTAAGACACCGCTTGGTCTGCCCTACATAGTAGTTCATCCTGCACGATAATGAAAACTTGTAGACAACGCAGCACTCACAATCAACAAATCTAACCTGGTTTCTCTTATCACAGGCTAAGTGAGCGACATTATTTGGACATGTTAACTTGCAAAGCCCCCATAGTTTCTTGGGGACCCCAAAAAGATTACGCGCACGTTAGCTCGCGGGGCCACTTTCAAGTTATGGGAAATAGCATGCATATACGGGATCACACCTACTCTGCTGCCCGAGAACTCTAACACTTGTTGCCTGCAAGACAAACATGTGCAAAACAAACACATTAACAAATGTGCAAAACAAACACATTTACTACTGTGAATTTGGTTTTTGCACGTGCAATGACACCCAAATATGCTCTTCTAATCAAGGACATGAAAAGACAGACATGTAATCTGAACAGATCTTGGGTTCGAAGCCTCACTTTGCCATGTATTTAGCCATCATTACACTCTGCGTGTGATTGAAATTGTCAAAAGCAATTCTAAAAACTAATCTTTGTGGCCTGAGTTCTGCTGTTTTTTTCGTGAGGCGTAATACTGTTCCCTTTGGTGGGGTCATGCTGTGGCCAGAGTTATGTTACTCTGCTGAGGTGCAGTACTTTGTCCCCACTTGAGGGCATTACTATACTCTGCCTCAAAAACAGGAGATTCTCTCTGGAAAAAAGTGTTGAATATGGTACAAGAAAATACTTTCCCGAAGAGAGTGCCCAGCACTCTTTTAGTTCTTAGCTGATGTGTGTTCATTCCTTACAAGACTGGTGCCGGCACAAGTTTTGCTTGCATGTCCATTCGAAATATCAGCTGTAAACTTATGCTGCAAATAGATTATGTACTCCTCGGATGATACTTGCCACATCTAATTATTACTGTTGAAAGAAGCTTTCATTTGTGGTCTCTTGGAAAGCGATACAGCTTTTAGTGTTTGGTGGAAGGATTGGTTACCTGCGGCACACAACACTGGTCCATGGTGACGATAGCAAGCATGCGAAACTCAAGGGAAACGAACGCTGACCAAATAGTCTGCACAAGTGACAGGCCGGATGAGATAAAATGGTAGCCACACTGCCACCAAAAGCTGTCCCCAAACACGGGCACATACAAGCTGAGATTTATCTAGCCTGTACATCCTTTGTGCGCGCAAATGCACGCATTTTGAAGTTTTGTGCATGCGCAGCCACGCTCCCTCTCGTACATTGTGTGCGCTAAACTAAAATTTGATGTACTGCTCCTCACAAACTCCACAGCTGATGAAGCGAGTGGTTCTCAGCAGAAATGGATTTCTCTCTTTCAGTCTTCTCGCAGGGCGAGACGCAGCCGAGCCTGGTGATCAACCCAATGGGAGAGAACAAGACCGAGCCCGCTGGCACAGGCTTCGTGCTCTTCTGCACCAAGGGTGCTGGTGAAGCAGACTTCACCGACTATAAGTGGACGGGACCCAACGGTCGGGAGATTACTGGGTGAGCGCCACCGCAGTCTTATGGCCCTAATCGCACTAATGTTCAGAAGAGGTGCTCTTTTTGTGCCAGAATGCCCCGCTGTGATGGTCGAGTGGCTAAGATACTCGGCTGCTGACTGGCTGCGGCGGCTGCATTTTCGATGGAGGCGAAAATGTTGTAGGCTCGTGTGCTCAGATTTCGTGCCTGTTGAAGAACCCTTGGCGGTAGAAATATCCGGAGCGCTCCACTACAGCGTCTCTCATAATCCTAGGGGGGTTTTGTGACGTTAAAACCCCACATATCAATCTATCTTTGTACCAGAATACCTGTTCCACAGGAGGTTCGTGGGTGTCTTTGGCAATGCCCTACCTAATGGTATTGAACGAGTCATCAACAGCTGGCAAATCTAGTGAAAGTCTTCGTTTCACCTTTCCAGGCACTACCTTAAAGGGCCACTCATCAAGTTTGACAATTTTGAGCTTGCAAGTGCAATGCATAAAGGGGGCGTCCATGGTCACGTCTGCCAAAATTTGCAATGCTATGTGCCGTGGAAATGGGTCAAATTTGAAGATGAATGCTGCTCTCCCTCGCTTTCGCAGGTGTGCCTCAGAGAATGAGGGCATAATATGCACAAAGGAGTGGCCCTACGTACAGGGCAGCACAGTGACGTTGTCCTCTACGTAGACGACTGTGCCCTGACGTCAACAGTGGCTCGTGACATGGTGAAAATTATTTAATACGATCTACATAGTTTATGTAATTTGTTGCTTGAAGAGAATAATAAAACTTGAGATAAATGATGAGACGCAATAAGGGAATGTGTGCGTCTTTTTTTCCATCCCCTCCCTCCACCCGTGAATTGCAACGAGATGCAGAAGGCTAATGTGCCTGCGTTTCGCATGTGTTTGTCTCTGCCGTTAGTGTGTCATGCAGACGCCTGTCCTGGAAAAGAAATTAATGGTCCTGCGCGTTCGAGCATTCATTATGCTCATCTATTATACTGCGTCTAAGCCAGCATTTCCAAACCATCCTGCAGAAACGGGCAGTATACCACAAAACGCTGGTCAACAAAACAGCACCATTCGCATGCTCGGGGTTGGGCTTGTTCGGGTACGTCATGCCCACGTGGCCTTTTGTTCGGATGCCGGTGAGGCTAGGGAAGAGAGTTGGCCGGCAAAGGCTACATGAGGAAGCGGCAAGGGTTTTGACCTCTCCTTCTCTCATCATCGTGTCACGCAGCTTGAAAAAAAAAATTTTTAAGCTCCTAATTAACTGAATGAAAAATTTTTTGTGGCATAACGCTCCTCATCGGACACAACTACTTCCACGGTCTAACTAATAAAGTTTGTTATGGGGCCTGGTAAGTGGTTGTTTAACTGTTTATTGTGCGATTCTGGAACATCATATCTATGAGAGTTTGTACAGGCAGGTGGTTCTATGTTAAAATCAGGAGTGCAACAGCTGCACCGATTGTGCCAATTTGATACAATTCATTTTTGTGCAAAGCTGTGCCAAAACTATGAAATTTGCTGAAATTGCGCCATGCGCCCAAATTCTTGATCAGTCTCACATTTTCCCTTGCACTTATTTCAGTGAGAAATGGGGGTCACGTTGGCCATTTGTAGTTTGCGTCATTTTGTTGCCCGGTGCAGTTGTTTTTACCTGAAATGACCTTTTTGCAGTAAACTTCCCGATTTCAATCATTGAATGCTGACAGTTTAATATGTCCCTTGTAAGATAGTGGCCACAGCCGTCGCCTTTTAGTGGGTACGGCTTCACTCGTGGGCAATAATTTTCACTCCAACTTTTTGAATCCTCCTTCACGCAGACCCTAATTGTAAATTACGGTGTAAAATATATACTCATTAGGTCAGGACACTCGTGAAACAACGCCGTGCGCCCACCGGTTGCAGACCGCAGCGGCTATTTATCGGCGGAACGGCACAATTTCAAGACAAGAATGCGTTCACTTCGCGGGAAATATGCATTCTCTAGTAAGCAAACATGGCTGTGGCATGTTAGAAAGTGTAATAGCGGTAGTATAGCGGTTAGAGTGCTCGGCTGCTGACCTGAAGGTTGCACATTCGATTCTGGTGGCAGTGATCACGTTTCCGTGAAGGCGAGATGCTAGAGGCCCGTGTTCTGTGCCATGTCTGCACACATTCAGGAACATCATATAGGCAAAATTTCCGGATTCCTCCACTACGGCGTCTCTGGTAATCATATTTTGGTTTGGGGACGTAAAACCCCGCACATTATTCTTATCGTGTGAGTAACTAAAAAAAGCTGAAAGTGCGTGCCGCTGTTACTGCACGTGAATAAACTCGACATGCTGCGAACGCCGGTGTTGCCGGCAACCACGTGTTGCTATCACAAGGGCACATGCGATAGATATCCGATGCCGTCGCCTGGCCAACGGGCACGTGCTGTAATGTTTTTCAGTTAAACCTACCTTGCAAGTTAGTCGAGAAGTCTCTTCATAAACCTAACCCCATTGTGTATATATATATATATATATATTGTAAGAATACTGTTAAGACGCCACGCCGGGGTGATGCAACCGTTTAATGCGCCGAACAGCAGCGAGACAGCAGCCAGCGGTTTCAGCTGCAGCTGCAGCAGCACGAGCCTCTGCCACAACAAACGTCTTCTTTGTCGTCCCTAGCAAGCCCGTATTTTTGTCACTACATTGACTCCCCGGTGCAAAAAGAGCCATCCTGGCGACCTATGGCACAGTCATGACTGGTGGGTCGTAGTGAAGTTTTAGACGGTCGACGTGCACAGTTTCACGCCCGCGGCGCCGTTGCTCTGTTGGTGGCTGAATAGGTTCAACCATGTAGTTGACTGGTGATGTGTGGCGCAAGATCCTATACGGACCGTCATACTTGGGTGGGAACTTTGAGCAAAGGCCTGGGGCAGACGATGGCACGCGGAGCCACACGATTGTTCCAGGCGCGTATGACGATGGAGATGAGCGTTGGTCATGGGAGTCCTTCTGGCGAGCCTGATTGTGCGTAGTAAGCGCACGTGCAAGCTGCCGACATTCTTCGGCCAAGGTCGTCGATTCTGAAGGGTCTGGGCGGTACAGAAGGATAGTGTTCAAGAACGATGAAAGTTCCCGACCATAAAGAAGAACGAATGGGGAGAATCCAGTTGTAGATTGAATTACGCTTTTGTAAGCGTACGTAACGAGTGGCAGTACGCGGTCCCAGTTCGTATGGTCATCGGAAACATACATGGAGAGCATGTCACCCAGCGTGCGATTAAATCGCTCTGTCATCCCGGTGGTTTGGGGGTGATATGCGGTGGTTGTTCGATGCACGATGTTGCATTCGCTTCCGATAAGAAGGAACGCCCACGGTCACTAAGAAGCTCACTGGGTGCACCATGCCGGAAGACGAGGTTGTGCAGAATGAACAAGCTGACTTCACGAGCAGTGGCCTCGGGAAGCACCGAAGTTTCGGCGGAACGCGTAAGGTGGTCCACGGCTACGATGACCAAGTGGTTTCCATTTGGTGTGTATGGTAGGGGACCGTACAAGTCGATTTCGATGCGGGCGAAAGGCCGAGAAGGACACGGCAGTGGCTGGAGTGGTCCTATGGTTGTGCGAGGGGAGCTCTTCCGGCGTTGGCACAAGGTACATGAACGGACGTACTGCCTAACAAAGCGGTACATTCCGCGCCAGTAATATCGAATTCGTAGGCGAGCATACGTCTTCACTACACCTGCGTGGGCGCATCGCGGAACCGCGTGGAAGAAGGCACAGACGTCAGAACGTAAGTGGCGAGGTATCACCAGCAGCCATTTGCGGCCATCAATAGGAAGTTTCGCCGGTACAGAAGACCGTATGGCGAGCAGTTCGACGAAATGGCGAGCAGTTCGTCGAAGTAAACTGTTGTCGGTACTTGGAGACATCCGAGACAGGTACTCTAAGAGAGACGCTATCCATGGATCCTGGTGTTGCTCAGAGGACATGACATGTTCAAATGAAGAACATTCGTAGTGGGAAACAGACGCTGTAACATAATCGTGGAAAAGTGGCGAGCGAGAAAGAGTGTCGGTGTCCGAATGCTTGCAGCCTGACCGATAAATTACACGAATGTCAAAATCTTGGAGACGTAGTGCCCAGCGAGCTAGGCGACCAGATGGGTCTTTTAATTACGACAACCAACACAATGCGTGGTGATCAGTCACGACGTCAAATGGGCGGTCATATACATAAGGTCGGAATTTCTTGATTGCCCAAACAATGGCAAGGCATTCTTTCTCGGTGACTGAATAGTTCTTTTCCGCTTTAGTAAGGGTGCGAATAGCGTAAGATACAACATACTCATCGAAGCGAGATTTACGCTGAGCAAAAATAGCGCCGAGGCCTACTCCACTAGCGTCTGGATCAAAGTCACACAAGATAGGTGGTGATGTCAGAAGATGCCGTAACGAGGCGAATGCTTCATCGCATGCTGGGTACCACGCCGAGATGTCTTGGTTGTCGGAAGTAGCTGCGTCAGGGGTGCGATTATGGTGGCGAAATCGCGCACAAAACGGCGAAAGCATGAGCAGAGGCTGATGAAGCTGCGGAGTTCTTTTAGTGTAGCTGGCCTGGGAAAGTGGGCGACAACGGTAAGCTTGGCTGGATCAGGACGAACACCATGCTTGCTAACAACATGCCCCTAATATGGTAAGCTGGCGGGCAGCGAAGTGGCATTTCTTGAAATTCAGCTGCAGTCCAGCGTCCGAAAGACAAGTCGGGACGCTTGCGAGGCGGCTGAGGTGGGAGTCGAAGTCCTTCGAGAAAACGACGTCATCCAAATAGCACAGGCATGTGTTCCATTTAAAGCCTCTAAGGATGTTGTCCATGAGACGCTCGAAGGTGGCAGGCGCATTACAGAGGCCGAATGGCATCACGTTAAATTCATACAATCTGTCGGGCGTTACACAGTCTTGGGGCGGTCGGCTTCATTCATAGAAACCTACCAGTAGCCCAATCGAAGGTCTAAAGAAGAAAAGAACTCTGCTCCTTG